TGTTGCTGCTCCTGTTGCTGCTGCTGCAGTGTCACTTGAGTTTGATGTGCGTTTCTTCACTATGCATTTCGGCGTTCATTTATTTGTTTGCTCTGTTGGTTTTAATTAGCAGCGCTTTTATCGTTTTGTTCTCTTCGTGTTTTGTTTATTTGTTTGTCTGTTTATTAATTTGTTTGTTTATTTATTTATTTATTTATTTATTTATTTATTTGTGTTTGTGGTGCGTGAAGCTTCTCTGTAGCATTTGCTTGCTGTTGTTATCACTGCACCTCATCCCTAAACCCTAAACCCTAAACCCTAAACCCTAAGATGATGAAGTATGATAATGTGGGGTGTCTGTACACCTCAGAATTCAACGGCAATTTCTACTTTGTCTTCGTCTCATCTTTCTAAGCCCAACATCGACAGCACTCACAAGCATTTACGCAATAAGCTGACGCTTCAGATATTCTCCCCGCTAGAAAGAAAAAGACAGGTACACCAGCTGCTGCTGCTGCTGCTGAAGCTGCTGCTGCTGCTGCTGCTGCTGAAGCTGCTGCTGCTGCTGCTGCTGCTGAAGCTGCTGCTGCTGCTGCTGCTGAAGCTGCTGCTGCTGCTGCTGAAGCTGCAGCTGCTGCTGCTGCTGCTGAAGCTGCTGCTGAAGCTGTTGCTGCTGCAGCAGCTGCTGCAGAAGAAGTAGAAGCAGAAGGTACAGCAACAGCAGCAGAATATTAGCGCCAGCAGCTGCAGCAGGGGGAAAAAGAAGCAGCAACAGCAGCAGAGAAACAGCAGCCGCAGCAGCAGCAGCTAAACAGCAGCCGCAGCAGCAGCAGAAAAGCAGCAGCCGCAGCAGCAGTGGCAGTTTTGAGTGTTGCTGTGTCTCTCGCGTTTTGTTTGCTTTGTTTGTATACACATTTCTAGCCGCTCCTCTTGTAAACCCTAAACCCTAAACCTTAATTCGTCTGTCCTGCTTTACTGCTCTCTCCATACAAGTTTGTGTCTGTAGGGTTTAGGGTTTAGGGTTTGTTTCTTACCTCTGCTTTTCCGATTGCATACTTTGTTTTTCTCGCTTCTCTCTAAGTTCGTTTGCCCAACTTAGGGTTTAGGGTTTACGGTTTGGCGTCTAGGGTTTAGGGTTTAGGGTTTAGGGTTTGCTCTGCACAGGCGTTCTGGCTTACTGCCTTGTCAACGGCGCTGCGGACCCTGGAGAGTCGCAGCGCAGCAGCAGCAGCGTGGCTGCGCAGCAAACACCAGCAGCAGCAGCAGCAGCAGTACAAGACACACTGGCGTCTGCAGCAGGAAGAGATGGAGGCCCAGCAGCAGCAGCAGCAGCAGGAGCAGACGCAAGCGCAAACGCAGACGCAGCAGCAGCAGCAGCAACAGCAACAGCAACAGCAGAAGCAAACAAGCCCAGGTGAGCTTCCGCTGCAGTTAGCAGCAGCAAACAAATTCAGTAGCACAGAGATAAACCCTTGCACACAGACAAAGACAGCAGCAGCAACAGCAGCAGCAACAGCACACACCAGCAAGCAGCAGCAGCAGCAACAAGCAGCAACAAGCAGCAGCAAGCAGCAGCAGCGAGGCTTCTGTATGCGAGCAGCGTTTGTGTTTGTCTTTTGCTGCAGCTCCTCCCCCCTTTCCTCTTCCTGCGAATATAATTAATATAAACCACCGCTTCCACAACTTATTCAAACTCATGAATGCTTCAGGATGGTGTGCTGCTGTTGCTGCTGTTGCTGCTGCTGCTGCTGCTGCTGTTGCAGTTCTGACTCCGCGCTGCTCCGTTTCTCGCTGCTGCTTTTTCTGATGCTGCTGCTCTTGTTTTGGCTGGTGCTGCTCCTGCTGCGGCTGCTGTTCCTGCTCCTGCCGCTTTTCCTGCTGCTGCTGCTGCTGCTGTTGCTGCTGCTCCCTCACCCTTCTCTGCTGTGCTGCTGCTGCAACTCCTACAGACGTCTCTTTGCATTTGCTGTAGCTCCTGCTGCTTTGGCTAGTGCTGCTGCTACCAAAAGCTGCTGCTGCCCCCATTCGTGCTGTGTCCTCTTCTGCTTCTCTTGCTGCTGCTGCTGCTTTCGCGTCGGATGCTTCTGCTGCTGTTGCTGCTGCTGCTGCCAGTAGTGCTGTTTGTGTTTCTGTTGCTGCTGCAGCAACGCCTGGTTCTGCTCCCACACTGCTGTTCTCGTCTGTGCTGCTGCTGCTGCTTCTGTTTCTGCTGCTGCTGCTGCTGCTGCTTCAGGGATGCATGCTTGGATTTACCAACTCCTCATTCTCGTTTAGAGAGTTTTCGTTTGTGTTCATTTTTACGTCCTTTATATTTTTCTCGCTTTGATGCGCGGGTGTCTCTTGAGCGGCAGCTGCTGCAGCAGCATCTGCAGCAGATTGTGCTGCAGGAAGCAGATGCTGTGCTGGTGCTGCGCGATGGGATCGTCGATCCCACCCTCAGCAGAGGCAAAGGAATCATAGCGAGTCAGATGGAAGATCAGGAAGAAGTCGCGGGAACAGCAGCAAGTGCCCTTAAAGGCCTGCAGCAGCACAAAGAGCAACCCCACCACCAACACCACCCCAAGCAACCTAGCAGCAGCAGCAGCAGCAGCAGCTGCAGCAGCAAAGACACCGGTGAAGACGCATGTGGATGCGGCAGCAAGTCTGCAGCAGCGGCAGCCGATGATGCAGCAGCCGCAGCAGCAACAGAAGCAGCAGCAGCAGAAGTAGCAGCAGCAGAGGACTTGAACGAGGAGGAAGAAGAGGAGCAGCAGCAGCAGGAGCTGCCGTCAGTTTGCTGCAGCTTCTTTGATTTAGTTGATGCCTCTGTACGCGCAGAGATCGAGAAAGAAATAAAGTTTATACCTGAGTATTCAAACTACTGGCGCTGCAACACGCAGCCGCTGCACAGGGGACAGGTGAGGTCTATATCAGGTCTATTCTGCATGCATTGAATTGGGGTGTATGCGCAGGTCTATGTATAGACATTGAATTGGGGTGTATATCGCAGGCCTATGTGTAGGTCTATCTGCATGCATTGAAACGGGGTGTATACGCAGGTGTATTTGCATGCATTGAATTGGGGTGTATGCGCAGGTTGGGAAGACGAGTCGAAAGTACGACAACGACTTTGCAATTTACGACTACCGCAAATTTGACTTCGGAATGGCTAAACTCTCCGCTCTCAACTTAGCAGGCATGCATGATGCTGCTGTTCTTATTGTTACAGACTGGGAGGAACAGCAGCAGCAGCAGCAGCAGCAGCAGCAGCAACAGCAACAGCAGCCTGCTGCTGATGGTGCTGCTGCTGGTGATCCGGCTGCTTCTCGTTCTCCTGCTGCTTTTGCTCCTGCTGCTGCAACTGCAAAGAGTCAGGACCAAGGAAGAGCTGCTGAGGGCTCAGCAGCAGCAGCAACAACAGCAGCAGCAGCAACAACAGAAGCAGCAGAGACTGAAAAGAGCCCACCTGCCTCAAAGAGGAAGCCAATAGTGTTGCAAGTTATTCATGTCTCCACAACAGACGAAATCGATAGGATCGGGCACAGCAGCAACAGCAGCAGCAACAGCAACAGCAACA